ACAGGTGAATGCTTTCCAATCATTTAATGCATCCAGCATTACTAAAAACTAGACTAAGACATTTTAAGAAAACGATAGACCTATAGCTCCCAGGAACACAAATATAAAATTCCTCAACAAAATATGAATGAATCAAATCCAGCCATGTATACAGAAAATGTACCAGAACCATGTCTTCCCTGGAATTCAAGGTTACTTAAGCATTGAAATAGCAATGTAATCTATAAACAGAATAAACAAGAAAATGCCTGATGATCGCTTCAGAAGATGCCCAAAATATTTGAAAATATTTTACAACACATTCATGACAGAAACTCTCCATCAACTAGGAACAGAGGGAAATTCCTGATAATAAGATTTATAATAGGGACCAGTGTTGTGGTGCTGCCCCACTTCCGATCCACCTCCCAGACAGTGCTTCTGGGAAGACAGTATAAGGTGGCCCAAGTGCTTGGGATCCTGTCACCAAGTGGGAGATCAGGTTGGAGTTCTATGCTCCTGGCTTCGCCCTGGCCCAGCCCTGGCTACTGCAGCAATTTGGGGAGTGAACCAGAGGATGGAAAAATCTTTCTTTCACTCGTTCTCTCTGTGATTCTGCTTTTCAAGTAAATAAATCTCTAAAAAAAAAATTGTAATAAAAAATACCAGGTAGATAGCATCATGTTTAGTGCTGAGAAACTGAATGTTTCTCTTCAAGATTGAGGGCCAGGGCCAGGGCAGTGGTGCAGTAGGTTAATCCTCTGTCTGCGGTGCTATCATCCTATATGGGTGCTAGTTCTAGTCCCAGCTGCTCCTCTGCCAAGCCAGCTCTCTGCTATGGCCTAGGAAAGCAGTAGAAGATGCCCAAGTCCCGTGTGGGAGACCTGGAAGAAGCTCCTGGCTCCTGGCTTCGCCCTGGCCCAGCCCTGGCTACTGCAGCAATTTGGAGAGTGAACCAGCGGATGGAAGACCTTTATCTCTGTCTCTCCCTCTCACTAACTCTACCTCTCAAATAAATAAAAAAATCTTAAAAAATAAAATTGAGGGACAACAGTGTCACATTTCATTATTTCTACTTAACATCACACTGATGGTCTCAGCCAGTGCAATGAAGCCATAAAAAAAAAAAAAAGAACATAGACTGAAAAGAAAGGAAGAAAGCTGTTTTTATTTACAATTGATATGATGAAATATGTAGAAAATCCTAGAGATTCTTCCAAAAAAGTTGCTAGGATTATTAAATGAAGTTAGCAAGGTCTCAGGATTCAAGATCAATATATATAAATCATTTCCATATACCATATATGGTATTATTTCTATATACCAGCAATAAAAATTTCACCTATATTAGTATTCAAAAATATGAAACAGGGGCAGGCATGTGGCCTAGCAGTTAATCCATCAGTTAAGATGCCCATGCTCTACATTGGAATGTGTGGGTTCAAGTCCCAGCCCCAGCTCCTGACTCCAGCTCCCTGCTAATGCAGACCCTAGGGGGCAGCAGTGGTGGCTCAAGTAGTTTGGTTCCTACTACCATGTGGGAGACACTGATTGAGTTCAAGCCTCTTAGCTTTAGTCCAGCCCTGTACTGGTCTTTGAGGGCATTTAGGGAGTGAACCAGAGGATGGAAGCAGCTCTCTCTCTCTGCCTCTAAAATAAACAAAATTTTAAAAGTGACAAAGTTGGCCGGCACCGCGGCTCACTAGGGTAATCCTCCGCCTAGCGGCGCCAGCACACCGGGTTCTAGTCCCGGTCGGGGCGCCGGATTCTGTCCCGGTTGCCCCTCTTCCAGGCCAGCTCTCTGCTGTGGCCCGGGAGTGCAGTGGAGGATGGCCCAGGTGCTTGGGCCCTGCACCCCATGGGAGACCAGGAAAAAGCACCTGGCTCCTGGCTCCTGCCATCGGATCAGCGCGGTGCACCGGCCGCAGCGCGCCGGCCGCGGCGGCCATTGGAGGGTGAACCAACGGCAAAGGAAGACCTTTCTCTCTGTCTCTCTCTCTCACTGTCCACTCTGCCTGTCAAAAAAAAAAAAAAAAAGTGACAAAGTTAATGATTAACTTAACATGATATGTATAAAATATGTGTAAGCAATATTGTGATGTATTGAAAAAAAAAATAGAGAAGACCTCAATAGAAACATGGCGTGTTCATGGAGGGAGGGGAGAAAAGAGGAGAGTGGAGGGGAGGGACCACAGTGAAATAAACATTTGCACTCCCTCTCTTGTGCCATGTGATGCTTTGTGCTACCTTGGGACTCTGCCAATAAGAAAGCCATTACAAGATGAGGTCCCTAGCCTTGCACACCCAGAACTGTAAGAATAAATCTCTTATCTTTATAAAGTAGTAGGTTTTTCAATATACTAACCAAAGGCTTCTTAATACATTCAGTAAAATGGTCAGGCACAAAATTCTTGAATACTTACAATAAAAACAATGCATTTAAACAATGCAGTAGTGACATAGGAATAAGTAGGGCATAGCATAGATTAGAAAGTGTAGAAAAAGACCTAAAATGTTTGCCATATAAGAAATTACTATGAAATTGACCATTGAAGGAGTAAATTACTATGAAACTGACCATTGAAGGAGTGGATAATTTAGATAATTATATCACAGCATTATAGACAAATATATCTAACTTGAAAGTATGAATTGAAATATTATTTAATCTCTAATTCATCTGAAATTTAACAAATTACACAGGTACTATTGTTTGTATATGTATGCATAATTAATCTTGGAGTTAGAGAAAATCTTCCAAGTTGGATTCTAACTTCAAAAATTATAAAGGAGGCCGGCGCCGTGGCTCACTAGGCTAATCCTCCGCCTTGTGGCACAGCATACCGGGTTCTAGTCCCGGTCGGGGCGCTGGATTCTGTCCCGGTTGCCACTCTTCCAGGCCAGCTCTCTGCTGTGGCCAGGGAGTACAGTGGAGGATGGCCCAGGTGCTTGGGCCCTGCACCCCATGGGAGACCAGGAGAAGCACCTGGCTCCTGCCATCGGATCAGCGTGGTATGCCGGCCGCAGCGCACCGGCCGTGGCAGCCATTGGAGGGTGAACCAATGGCAAAAGAAGACCTTTCTCTCTGTCTCTCTCTCACTGTACACGCTGCCTGTCAAAAAAAAAAAAAAAAAAAAAAAAAAAAAAAGCTGCCTTTTTTAAACATGTAATTTATAAATGGTAAATGAACATGTCAGGATTTCAAATTAACAGCAAAAGAAATAAAATTAAAATATTCCACCTATCAGTTAAGAATATTTAAAAAATGATTAATTGTACCAAGTGAAAGCAGAGATGATGCCTAAACACAGATGGTAGGCGTATCTATTGCCTAGTCTTTCTTGAGGTCAGTTAGGCAGTACTTACAAAATGCCTTAACATGCAAATTTCTTCTAGAAAATCTGTCTCAAGAAAATGTTAGACACCTGTGTTTTCTTTATAACACTGAGAAATAGTAGTAAGTAACTGAGAATAATTTGATACATTCATATGCTAGAGTGCAGAGTTGAAAATTATTTTCCACATATACATCTTTGGATGTGTATTTAACTTCCAAAGATGTACATAAGATAAAAGCATGTATATGTAGACTGATGCCCAGTAAATTACATACATATTCAATAACAATGGAAACAACTTTCTAAGAACATTCACCAAAATGTTAACAGTAGTCATCTCTTGCAGGGATTGTATATTTCTCCCATTTTTCTCTGTTGAAGATTTCTTGGTGGAAACTAGAACTCTTTCCAGAAATAGTTTAAATATAGGATACAAAGAATGGGCTGCTAGATTATTTCTTTATGTTATTGTGGTGGTTATTTTTGGTATCCAAGAAAGGTTGTATCTCACATCATCTGCACATCATCTTGTATACTTTAAATCATGTCTGGTTAATTAGAATACCAGATATAATGTAAAGGCTATGCTCTTTTGTTTGGGGAATAATAACAAGAAAAAACTGTACATATTCAGTATAGATGCATTAAAAAAGAGTCTTCAATCTCAGTTAAATCTGTGGATGTGGTACCTGCAGATATGCAGGGCCAAGTGCTTTTGGTGCTGTGCAACTAAAGTTCTGGATTAGCTCTTAGATTGCGTTTCTCAAAATGCATTCTACACACCATCCCTATGGAGATCATCTAGTATGCCTGTTAAAAGTTCAGTTTCTCTGGCCCTACCCTAGTTCTACTGAACCAAAAATCCTGGAGGTAGAACCTAGGACTGGTGTTTTAAGCAAACTCCTGAGGACATTCTTAAGCACAACAATACTTAACCTCTGAGATCTTCCCTATAAAGCTAGAGGGCAGACAATTCAAGGTTGATCTTGAACTTCATTCTTGACCCCTTCAGAGGCAAAAGGCTACCCAGTTTTCACAACAGCAGTGTAGGTGAACTTTCCTTTTCCTGTGTTTTAACCACCTTACTTCATCACCTTCATCACACACAATTAAACCTATTTCTCAACCTCTATACTGTCTACCAATTTTTTTTTTTTTTTTACTTAGGAGCTGATATTGCCTAGCTATGAATATCTGTTTTATTATGTATATTATATTGCTAGGGCTAGATACTAAGAAGTTTATTATTTTTCATGTCATTCACTTTTTTGGACTCCTCCATCTTAAAGTAGATTTAAGTGGCACGATGTTATTCAAATCATTATTTTCATAACTAAAATACTGTGGGCTACTTGGAATCAGAAACTTTTTAGGGGCAATCATCTAAGTCAGTCCTGACATAGACTGTAACAGGGAAAACAGTGTGTCTTCCAGGGCTATCTGCTTTTACTTGTATGCCAGCTTTAAGCATCTATAGAATCAGTCTGTCATGCAACAGAGGATTGCATAGTTCTCTCTCTAGCAGACCCAAGAAGGACACTTAGCCCAATTTCCACAGGAAGTGGCTCCTGAGACACCTTTGGTAAAGGGAGATGGTGACTGCTTTCCTTTCCATGGTTTCCATCTGCCCTGGCACCACACTCCCATCCCCCACAGCTCCCAAGCCCCCACAGCAGGCCTTACCGGCATGGTGATCTGGATGGGCTGCCGTTCTCCACTCTTGGTTGGAGCCACACCTTCCGTGTCATACGTGCCAGTATAAACAACTCGGTCCCCCTCGGGCTCTTTAGACTTCAGCTCCAGCGGGACAAGCACACCACCGATGGAAATGTTCCTGCAATGGACTTCCATTGAGCAAATGTGGCAGCTGTTAGCTTAAGCACCCAGTCTTTGGAGCAAAACCCTAGAGAGGAAACCTACAGGATTTGGCTAATGGAAACATTGTGGAATGGAAGAAAGATGGAAAAGTTCAAGAGGCAAGGGTGGGTCACAGTCAGCCATGTGATCCTGGACTACATAATCTCTCTAGATTGACCTCAGGATTCTCACACAGAATTTCCACCCAGGGCCCAGCTGGGCTATCAGTGGTTCTCTTCGTTCACTACCCATTGAAGTCACCTGTGGTGATATTACAACCCTACCTGGACTCAGCCTTATGCCAAACCACTGAGATCAGGATTCAATTGGTCTGGGATGTAATCTGGGCCCTGGAAAATTTATTTCAAAGTTTTCTAGGTGATCCCTACGTGCAGGTAGGGTTGAGAACCGCTGAACTTGTCCTCTAATGTTTTTTCTCTTTCAACAACCAGGCATCCTGTAATTTGGGGGTCCTCTTCCTTCAGCCGACTACACCACCAGTATCCTCCACTGGCTCACTCTTTTGTCTGCTCACAGTGAAGCCCCTGGACCAGTAATATCTGTGTCACCTGCCGATTGCCCTGGACAAAATAAACTGGAAACTCTTGGATAGGCCCCAGCCCTGGATAACAAGCCCTCCAGGTGATTCTTACATACACACATTTGAGAACTGCTGAATTAGGGCACTGAAAAATCCTCCATCAAATTAAAACACAACAAGAAATAATAGTATTCTTGTTAACAGAGTAGTTTTTCTCTCAGCTTCAAAAGTAGAAAAATACCTGGGGGTACAGGGTGTGGAGGAACATAGAACAGTTAACTCAGGGGGAGAAGAGAAAGGAGCAGCATGGATTATATCAGATGCACAAAACCCTGGCAAATGGGAGGGCAATGGATGTGTGTGGAATATGGGATCACTGACAAATAGATGGGCCAGGAGCATTGGGAACCGGCTAGGTTTGTTCTAGGTTATTGCATTGGGGCTTGACACCTAGAAAGCTAATACAAGTTTATTGAATTAAGTTATAAAAATGTCCGACCGATTCAAAGCCCCCCCTCCCCACCCCCAATAAAATGGTGGATAGGATAAATGGACATGATAGGTATATTTCCTTCTTCCAGACTAGCCTTAGGTGGAACCTGAGCCATAAAGGGTTGCACCCACGGATTCCTCCCATGGGTTCCCACCCTGACTCTCCCTGGGGTCTACGTTCTGGGCGCATCACCCTGTGGTAGCTGAGCAGAGATAATCCCTGCCACGAATAAACCAAAAAACATCCTCTTGTTGTGAGGATATTGTTAATCCCAGGCACCATCTTCGGGTTGAAAAGACAACTCTGGGAGGAGGGGGAAAGGCTTAAAGCACGGAGCACCGTGAAACTAGGCCTGAGCAGAGGCTGCTGCCTGGAGCCGCTGGGTCCCCAGCCGCCTTAGGGCTCACGTAGCAGCGGGGAGCATCCCTCCGGGAGCGCGGGTCACCGCCCCTCCCCTGCCCTTACACCTCATTCCTCAGCCTGTCTGCCTCGTTCAGCCTCTTGGGCGGAACCCGGCGCGCCGTGGGGACCAAGCGCTGATTGCCGCAGGTGAAGCCGGAGGCCAGCTTCCTCCGACTTCCTCGCCCCGGGCCGCCCGCGGTTCCGCACAGATGACTGGACACGAGGAAATGTACAAGAACGCACACTCACAGCCCCTGGCTTCTCGCTGATTTAAACAGCCCCACTGCAGTCACCGTGAGGGGTGGGAGGAATACAAGCCGAAGACAGAGGAGGGGACTCCTCCCTTCACCCCCCAAATCCCTAGTCCGCTGGGCGCGGCTCGAGCTAGAGGGGCCCGGGAGAGGCTCCAGCTGCCCTGGGAACCTCGGACCTGCGCCCGTTCTCCACGCGCTGCCCTGCAGCCGCGGCGCGCCCCGCACTCACTCGACCTGCAGCGTGGTGGGCTTAATCTTCACCTCCACCTTGTAGGAGGAGCCGGTGAGCAGCTTGATGGTGCGATTCTGGCCGAAGCGCTGCCCGTCCACCTTGAAGAAGACTGGGCCGTCGTTGGGCTGGATGCGCAGCGCGATGGAGAGGCGCACGATGCCCGGCAGGTCCCCCATGGCTGGACGAGGGGCAGGCGCGGCGGCTCCGGGGGGCGGAGGACAGAGCGCGCTGCGACCGTGCGGCTGGAGCGCGGTGGGCGGAGAGGAAGCGCGGGGAGGGAGAGGGAGGTGGTGGAGGGGAGGCTGCCGCTAGGAGCCTGCACCGTCGCCGCTGTCCGCCCTGGTCTTTGAGCAGCACCTCCGGAGGCTGCGGCCCCCAGCCCTACACGGCCAGAGAGCGATCCCCGGAGATGGCTCCCGAGCCGCGAGAGTCCCCATCCCCCGCTGCCCGGTCAGAGCACCCGGGGGTTCGCGCTGGCCCGCAGGCCGCAGCGCAGATCGGCGCCTCTGGGGAGGAGGGAGTTAATCCTGTTTACGCAGCACAATCCCCTTCTACTCGGGAAGCGGACGTCTAGGCTCCTCCTAGGACGCGTCGAGCGCCAGCTGAGGATTGCTGGGGCAGGGGGAAGGCGCTGGGGTTAAGTGACTGCTACGCCAGGGAGCGGGACCCTCGGCCTCTGCACGCCGTCCGGTCCGGTCATCTACGGGATGTGGGCACTGTCGCCCCCAGCCAGTCAGGAGAAGGGGGAGAGGAGAAAGGGAGACGGAAGTGGGGCAGGAAACTGCTAGCCAGTGATTTAAATGTCAGGAAATAGTCTTTCCAAAGCTCAGGGGAAATGACCGAGGGAAGGCAGATTATATCTAGCGTGGACAGCGAACCACATTAGATTGAGAATGTGCGCAAGAAAAAGAAAACCACTATATTCAGGAGGCACACCTTCTTGTGCGTATGTATTTCCATTGTGCATAGCACTGTCTCAGTTTGACTGTGTAATGAATCAGACTTTTACACCGATCTTGAAGAATGAACTATTACCCGTGTGAAAGGCAACTGGCATGTGCCTACGGCATAGCTGGTGACAATGGCAAAGAGACGGGTTGGGTCAGAGGAATATTGGCAAGGCATGCCCTGCGACGCTGCGGGGTTGGGATTTGATTATTACGCGAGATTAGAGAGTTTTCGTGGCAGAAGTCGGTCGACAGCTGGAGACTTCAGGAAGCAAGGGTAGATCAAGGGCATTGGGGCTGTGCAGGGAATGGCTTCAAACAGCGGAGACGGAGCACCTGCTTCAGCACCACCCAGGTGGATAGTACCACAGTCTGTGCTCACACCTGGGCAGTGCAGGCAGGGACTGGTGAGAAATGGCAGAGATAGGTCTGTTTGGTAGCTTGAGTTCACCAGTCAGGATACTTTTCTTTAGAATTTATAATGATATATACGCAGGTAGCTTAAAAAAAGTTCGTGAAAAATGGAATAATTAAAAGGTTAAATTTATTTGGGGTCAAAAGTATTTGAGTTCCATGCACCTTATCATAATTAACATTTTCCAAGCCAGCGCCGCGGCTCACTAGGCTAATCCTCCTCCTAGCGGCGGCGGCACACCGGGTTCTAGTCCCGGTCGGGGCGCCGGATTCTGTCCCGGTTGCCCCTCTTCCAGGCCAGCTCTCTGCTGTGGCCCGGGAGTGCAGTGGAGGATGGCCCAGGTGCTTGGGCCCTGCACCCCACGGGAGACCAGGAAAAGCACCTGGCTCCTGGCTCCTGCCATCGGATCAGCGCGGTGCGCCGGCCGCAGCGCGCCGACCGCGGCGGCCATTGGAGGGTGAACCAACGGCAAAGGAAGACCTTTCTCTCTGTCTCTCTCTCTCACTGTCCACTCTGCCTGTCAAAAAAAAAAAAAAAAAAAAAATTAACATTTTCCATCAATTTTTTGAAGACCCCCTAATTTGCTGAATTTCACCTTTTTGCACCAAAATAAACATTTTAATTCCATTTCCATGAATCTTTTCAAGTGCTCGTGCATGTGTGTGATTATATGTAATATTGGTGTTCATTGTACCACTTTGTACCACTAGCTGCAAAAATCAAAAACAAAACCATAATATGCTATCAACTATGGTATATTATGCAACTATTAAGATAATGAGTGTTGTATTGGCAAACACTTAAGCAAAGACTTACTGATAGAAGTGGGATGGCTCGCACACTGGGCAAGGCTGAGGGAAGACAGTCTTGTCTGTTTGCTCCCATATCCCTTGGACATACAGAAGAGTTCCTGACACATGGTAGGTACTCCGTAAATATTTATTAAGTTGAATTTCTGTTCTTGTTTTAAACATGTTTATGTATAAATTCTTCTATGTCTTAGGTCCATTTGATTTACTTGAAATGATGTAAAGAGAAAGAAATCTTATTGCAAATAGTATGTATAGTATTTTTAAGCCATGAAACAATTAAAAAGGCATACAAATGGGTATGTGTTTTTATTAGTACTTTAAAAATGAGTGAGTACAGAGTAAACCTAATGTTGGTTACTCTGGTGAATGAGTAGTGGAAAGTATATAAATATCCTTTTGGAAGTATTGACTTTTCCCCTTCAATCTTTTGTTCAGCAATCCCACAATTTCAAGCCCAGCTTGGACTATAATGACTACTTTTTTAAAATATTTATTTATTTATTTATTTTGAAAGGCAGACTTACAGAGGCAGAGAGAGAGAGAGAGAGAGAGAGATCTATCCACTAGTTCACTTCCCAAATGGCTGCAAATGGCTAAGCTGGGGTTTAGCCAGGCCAAAGCCAGGAGCCAGGAGCTTCTTCCGGGTCTCCCACGTGGGTGTATGGGCCCAAGGACTTAGGTCATCTTCCACTGCTTTCCTGGGCTCATTAGCAGGGAGCAGGATGGGAAGTGGAGCAGCCAGGACTCAAATCGGCGCCCAGATGGTGGCTTTACCTACTGCACCACAGTGCCAGCTCCATGATTACTGTTTAAAACCTGAGAAAGTGGAAGGTATTACTTTTCAAATATGAGATGTTACTGATATTAGGCAGCATCCCTAAGAATGAAGGTTTTAGAACCTCACAAATCAATGTCTTAAAATGGAGTAAATAAATGTAAAAGTAATTGGGGGCTGGTGCCGCGGCTCACTAGGCTAATCCTCCGCCTGTGGCACCGGCACACCAGGTTCTAGTCCCGGTCCGGGCACCAGATTCTGTCCCGGTTGCTCCTTTTCCAGTTCAGCTCTCTGCTGTGGCCCGGGAGTGCAGTGGAGGATGGCCCAGGTGCTTGGGCCCTGCACCCGCATTGGAGACTAGGAGGAAGCACCTGGCTTCTGGCTTCGGAAGCGCTAGGCAGTGCGCCTAGCCGTAGTGGCCATTTAGAGGGTGAACCAACGGAAAAAGGAAGACCTTTCTTTCTCTCTCTCTCTCACTGTCTAACTCTGCCTGTCAAAAAAAAAAAAAAAGTAATTGGAACATTTCTCATTACTGATGCCTATGTGCAAACAATATAAGCATGGAGTCTAATGGATCTGTGTTTGTAGCCCAGATGTTCTGACTACAAGCTGGGTAACCTTGAGCAAGCTACTTAGTTTCTCAGAGCTCCAGTATTTTCATTTGTAAATGTTGGTGGCGGCCAGCGCCGTGGCTCACTAGGCTAATCCTCCGCCTTGTGGCGCCGGCACACCAGGTTCTAGTCCTGGTCGGGGCACCGGATTCTGTCCCGGTTGCCCCTCTTCCAGGCCAGCTCTCTGCTGTGGCCCGGGAGTGCAGTGGAGGATGGCCCAAGTGCTTGGGCCCTGCACCCCATGGGAGACCAGGATAAGTATCTGGCTCCTGTCATCAGATCAGCGCGGTGTGCCAGCCGCAGTGCGCCAGCCGTGGCGGCCATTGGAGGGTGAACCAATGGCAAAGGAAGACCTTTCTCTCTGTCTCTCTCTCTCACTGTCCACTCTGCCTGTCAATAAATAAATAAATAAATAAATAAATAAATGTTGATGGCAGGGCCGGCCTCGTGGCACAGTGGGTTAAGCTGCCACTTGCCACTTGTGAGAACACCAGCATCCCATATCAGCATGCTGATTTGAGTCCTCACTGCCCTGCTTCTGATCCAGCTCCCTGCTAATGGACCTGGGAAGCAGCAGAGGATGGCCCAAGTGTCTGGGCTCCTGACCCCATGTGAGAGACCGGAATAAGAGTTTTGGGCTCCTGGTTTCTGACTGGCCCTGCCTCAGCCATTGAGACCATTTGGGGAGTGAACCAAAAGATGGACCATCACTTTAACCAGCAGATGGACCATAGCTTTCTCCCATCCTCTCCCTCTCTTCTTGTTACTCTACCTTTCAAACAAATAAATAAATCTTTTTTAAGAAAAGAAAAAAAAATGATAATGGTAATATATGTGATGCTCGTAGAACCAAATGAGATTATTAAAACATAAGAGTGTCAGTCACATACAGACCCAATAAATTGGAGCTATTTTGTTTATCTAAAAATCTACTTGCTTTTTAAGATACCCAGTGCTTTAACTCTTGTGGATTTGTTAGTTATTATCATAGCTTAATGATCTTAGACATTGTCTATCAACAGCACAGCCATTATTGTCATTCTTTGGGATATTTGGAAATTGAGCCAAAGTGATTTATGGACTTGGTTGTCATTCAGAGAAATCATGTACCATGCTCTGAATGTTTGTGCCCCTTCTTCCAACCATGCAACAATATTAAAAGGTAGTGTGTAGGTCATGGGGCGATGCCACCATGCAGGGGATTAGTGCCTCTTAGAAGAGGCTTGAGGGGTCTTGTTTGGCCCCTTTCACTACATGAAAATGCCACAAGAATGTACCTTCTATGGACAGACAGCAAGCTCTCACCATACACCAACTCTGGTGGCACTTTAACCCTTGACTTAGCCTCCAGAACTGTGAACACAAATACATTTAGGCTGTTTGCAAATTACCCTGCCTAAGGTATTTTGTTATGGCAGCCCGAGTAGACTAAAACATCAGTTTATGTTCACTGTCCTGGTTTCTATGCTGAATTTATATTATAGACTTAAAAATTAATCAGCATTGTGACATAGGCCATAGCTGTGTGTGCATGTGCGCATATGTGTATGTATAAAAGAGAAAGCAGTTATGAAGGGTTAAAAAGTTAAAAGCCGCTCCCCTCCCAACCTCCTCTGGTGAACTTTCCTGACCTCATTAGACTTGCTCTGCATAGCCATTCTCTATAAAGTTAATTAGTCAGTAAATTACCCCAATGTGAGCGTAACCTTAGTTTCACCTAAGTAAGATAGAAGAAGTCACCATATATCTCTTTGCCTCCTGGAACCCTGACCCCACCATGTGTCCCTTATCGCCATTCGGCTGCATTCCTAGGTATCATCAAGGCAGTTCCTGCAACCTTGTTGTGTTTGTTGTGTGGCCCTCCCTTTTGGCAATAGGAGGCTTTTTGATACTCCCTGTATAGGCCATATGGTTCTCTGAGGTCTAATCAGGCCCTTACTCGATTTCCTGTACTCGCTGTATTCATAAATCAACTGGTTGTAAAATCACTTAACTTGTATCAATTGTTTACCCTATACCTCTGTCTGATCTTTGCAATGATTGATTTTCTTTGTTTAAACGTGTATAAAAACCCCAACCCAAGACTATTTGGGGCCGCTCGCCTGTACTGGGACGGGGGCCCCGACATGTCGGATCATCAATAAACCTTACCCTTTGTTAATTGCATGAGAGAAGGTCTCTTGGAGCGTTTTTGGGGTGGCAAGAGCAATCCAACTCTAACAGTTACATGTGCTGGGGTTAGATTACACATACACACAATGCAATTCCAATGGCCTACTTTTCTTTTTTTATTCATATCTATGTTCAGGTACAGTTTAACACTGGCAGGTGTCATTTGTTATTTTTATTTTTAAATCAATGTCAGTGATTTATGATGTGGCAGACTCCTTCCCTTCTGCTGCCTCATAATGTCTTAGGATCAGATCTCAACCAATGTTCTTTATATTTTTTTAGGGCTTTTCTTGGTTTCATTGGCTGGACTCTTAGACAAAGCCACCCTCTTAGACCAATTTTGAAAAAGCCAGATTCTTCCTTAGACCCAAAGGATTTTGTAGCCATGGTGATGAGCAGCAGGCTTCTTGTTTGTGTGTGAGACTCTTGGGGGAATCTGGTGACAGCTCAGAGAGTTACCAGGCAGGCAGGATCCACTCCTTAGCTCAGTGGTGTAGCTCTTGTTTGCATTTGTTCTGGCCTGGTTTTGCATAGCAGTTTACATTTCAAAGAAAACCTTTGTGGTTTCCTGCCTTGGGTATTATCTGTCATGGACCAGGACAGCCTCATTTACTTCTCCACAAATGTAAATAAATATTCAGTTACCACTAGAGTCCATAAAGGTGATCTTCCACTTTTTCTGCACTGGATACTTTTTGTGAGACTGGGATTCCATGGAGAAAGAACCTAAACATTCTTACATTAGGTGCAAATACCTGGATTAAATGCTGGCATCATAGGGATATTCCCAATTTTACATTTCTAGGCCCAAACATTTTTCTAAGCTATGGATTCAGATAACCAATTCTGGATCAAATATCTCCACTTAGGGGTCTAACAAGTATCCAAATTTTAACATGGCCAAAAGAGAATTCTTTATCTCAAACTCATTCTCCCTGAGGGTTTCTTATTTATTTATTTGGGAAAGAGAGATATCTTCCATTCATTCCTCAAAGGCCCACAACAGCCTCAGCTGGGCCCGGCTGAAGACAGGAGCCAGGATCTCAAGCCAGCTCTCCCACATGGGTGGCAGAGGCCCAACTATTTGAGCCATCACTTGCTGTCTCCCAGGGAAGGCATACAAGAAGACTGCCTAGGGACTGGCGCTGTGGTGTAGTGGGTAAAGCCACCGCCTGCAGTATGGTGCCAGCATCCCATATGGGCGCTGGTTCGAGACCCGGCTGCTCCACTTCTGATCCAGCTCTCTGCTGTGGCCTGGGAAAGCAGTAGATGATGGCCCAAGTCCTTGGGCCCCTGGGCCCATGTGGGAGACCCGGAAGAAGCTCCTAGCTCCTGGCTTCGGGCTTCGGAACAGTGCAGCTCCGGCCATGTGGCCAATTGGGGAGTGAACTAGCAGATAGAGGACCTCTCTCACTCTCTGCCTCTCCTCTCTCTCTGTGTAACTCTGACTTTCAAGTAAAATAAATAAATTTTTTTTTTTGACCGGCAGAGTTAGAGAGAGAGAGAGAAACAGAGAGAAAGGTCTTCCTTTCTTTTGGTTCATCCCCCAATGGCTGCTGCGGCCGGCACTGCGCCAATCCGAAGCCAGGAGCCGGGTGAACCACCAATGTAGGTGCAGGGCCCAAGCACTTGGGCCATCCTCCACTGCCTTCCCAGGCCACAGCAGAGAGCTGGCCTGGAAGAGGGGCAACCGGGACAGAATCTGGTGCCCCGACCGACCGGGAATAGAACCTGGGGTGCCAGCGCCACAGGCGGAGGATTAGCCAAGTGAGCTGGCGCCGCCCCTATAAATAAATCTTTAAAAAAAAAAAAAGAAGAAGAAGACTGCCTGGGTATCTTACATGACAAAGGAAAGCATTGGAGGAAGGGGAATGCTCAGCTGGACCTCATGAATGACTGGAGCTAGAACCTTTAGATCCACATGCTTTGAGACGGATCATTTCACCCCCGCAAGTGTGGCTGTTTCCCAAAAAGGGAATCAGTGGCAGTTCTGGGAAGGCAAAGAAGGCACGAAAACTAAAATAAATGGCAGAGGTGGGATGTGAAGTGAGATGATCCCAGTCTACTGCTTGAAGTCTGAGCACTGTGCCCAGCAAACGTAATGGCACGGACACCCTCTGTCACCTTCATCAAGTTCAGCTGCTTGTGTATAATGTCCATGGCTGTCTGACCTTCTAGACGGCATCGCTATGGAGCTTAAAGACAAAAAGGGGATTTTTAATGATCTCCTGAAGTCTGTTCTACATATACATTCCTGGGATTCATTAAGAAACAAACAGAACAGGGGCTGGCATTGTGGCGCAGCAGATTAAGCTTCCACTCGAAACACCGTCATCCCATATCGGTGCCGGCTCCTGTCCCAGCAGCTCCACCTCTGATCCAACTCCCTGCTAATGGCCAGGGAAAGCCGTGGAAGATGGCCCTAGTGTCTGGACCCTTGCCACCCACGTGGGAGACCCGGAAGAAGCTCCTGGCTCTTGGCTTCGGTCTGGCCCATCCCTGGCTGTTGTGGCCGTCTGGGGAGTGAACCAGTGGATGGATGATCTTTGTCTGTTTGTGCTTCTCTCTCTGTAACTCCATCTTTCAAATAAATAAATAAATCTTATATATATATATATATATATATATATATATATAAAGAAATGAATAAGGGAAGTTAAAGCATCAGGATATTTCTCACTTTCCAAACCCCGCTTCTCCTCCCACCGTGCACACACAGTTTTCTGTACTCAGGTACCTGAAGTCCCCTCAGCCGAAACAGAACATATAATCCCAGTTGTTTTCTCAGTGTACAGAAGTTATTTGTGGATATTAAGAAGTTCAAGTGCTCTTAAATTGCAAAGTACAGTGAAATGTCTTCCCGTTAATGATGACTGTCCTGGCTCTAAGCTTCTGTCAGATCATGTGATTGACTTTGCAGGGTGACTTTGACTTTCTTGCTTTCCTGCCTTATGTCTTTCAGAACGTCATTCTTGAATCAGAGGACCTGGAATGGACAAATGAGAAGCAATGACAGTAGGACAGATCATGCACTCTAGAGGAAAACCAGGTGGCTGACTGAAAACCAAAGCACAAAGGATTCCCTCAGATCAAATCGTTGCTTCATGTAAAGTGCACTATTCTGTTGGAAAGTTAATGAAGAGTGTGAGTGAGGAGAGGAGGTGAGGTAGATGGGCCGGTGAGGAGGTTAGCAAGCAGGGGAACGTTTTTTATTTTTATTTTTTCTTGAGAGGGAACGATGCTATTAAATTACTCAATTTGGAACATCTGACCAATGTTTTATGGAAAATAATGTGCAGCGAATTTTCCCCTCTTCCTTTACTAGTTCCATATGTGACACACGCAGACATTCCAGAGACTGCAGTTAATCCTCAGCTTCAGGGAGTGTCTGGTGCAGCAGGGCCCAGGGACTGGGCACTTAGACAAGGGCTGGGTTATGAGTCCAAACAGAAATGTCAGGGACCAGGGTTTGAAACCCGACAGGTCTTGGTTTAACATAGGTACCACGTGGCTTCTCTATGCATGTGTAAATAACGACCCCCCCCAACACTTAGCAGTTATAACATTTATCATCCGACGGTTTCTCTGTGTTCAGTACAGAGGAGTTTAACTGGGTGGTGTTGACTCAGGCCTCTCAGGAGATTGCATCCAAGGTGTCATCCAGAGCAGCTGTCAGCTGCTACCTTGACTGGAGCTGGCAGATTTGCTTCCTTGCTCGCTCTCCGAGGTGTTGACAGACCTCAGTTCCTCTCTGGCTTTTGGCTGGAAGCTTGAGCTTCTTGCCACATGGGCCTCACCATACAGCACAGAAGAGATCCAAGGGAAAGAGGAAGAGTATGCACTCCAGACAGGAATTGTGGTCTTTATGCTAAACTTTTAGAAGTGACATAGCATCATTTGTAGTCTATGCTGCCTCAAGGTGCAAGGAAACTGTACCAGGTGGCTGCTAGGAAGTGGGAGTTACTAGGGGCCACCCTGGAGGCTGGGTGCAGCCAGCTCGAAAGCATGCACTAGGATTGTTGTCCCTAGAAAATTCTAGGTCAAATCTGAAATCTTCCTGGTGAGGAAGCCCAAAAGCAAAGACATGGTTTAGGTTGAACAAATAGCATTTTTTTTAAATGATCACCACACTACAAATGTTTGAAACATTTGTCAGCAAACTATAACCGTTGGTCCAGGCTAGCACCGCGGCTCACTAGGCTAATCCTCTGCCTTGCGGCGCCGACACACCGGGTTCTAGTCCCTGTCGGGGCACCAGATTCTGTCCCGGTTGCCCCTCTTCCAGGCCAGCTTTCTGCTGTGGCCCGGGAGTGCAGTGGAGGATGGCCCAAGTGCTTGGGCCCTGCACCCCATGGGAGACCAGGAGAAGCACCTGGCTCCTGCCTTCGGATCAGCGTGTGTGCCCGCCACAGCATGCGGGCCTCGGCGGCCATTGGAGGATGAACCAACGGCAAAGGAAGACCTTTCTCTCTGTCTCTCTCTCTCACTGTCCATTCTGCCTGTAAAAAAAAACAAAAAACAAAACGTTGGGCCAGTTCTGACTACACCCATTTTTGTATGTCCTATGAGCCAAGAATGGCTTTACATTTTTAAATAGTTTGGAAAGAAGTCAAAAGAATCACTATATTAAATGACATGAAAATTACATGATTCAAATTTCAGTGTCTGTGGGAAAGTTTTATTGAAAACACACATTTGTTTAGGTATTGCCTTTGAGTGCTTTTCCACTGAAACAGCAGGTAAGTTAAGTGGTTGTAGCAGAGACTACATGGCCTACAAAGTCTAAAATACTTACTATTGATTCTTTACTTAAACAGTTTGTCAACCTATGATTTAAAATAATTTCCTTGTCACTTATAAATGATAAAAGAATATGAGAAAAGTTAAATTGATGATAGAATGTTAGAGATTAATAGTTGTGTAATAAAATGGCAACATTTTGTTCAATGTTAGAGATATTTGATATTGTTACATCATTCAGCATGTATAATCAACAGTGTGGTGTACCTTCATAGATGACAGGAGATACTATTAAATACTTTCTATGTTTGATGAGAACAAATTCTCTTAGTTTATTATATTCAAGAAATATTTCATCTCTAAATGGCCATCTATTTTGTATAACCTCCTATGCTAACTCTTTTCCTAAATTTATACAGAAAAATCAGAATATAATGGAAAGCAAAATAAAGTAAAAATATCTACAGTTATACCTACAACAGGGATATTAGTTACTTTAGTGCATGCCCTTCCATCCCTCTATGTAAAGGAGGAAAGTGAGGGGCCAGTGCTGTGGCTTAGTGGGTTAAGCCTCCACTGGTGGCACCGGCATCCCATATGGGTGCCGGTTCCAGTCCTGGCTGCTCCACTTCTGATCCAGCTCTCTGCTGTGGCCTGGGAAAGCAGTTAGAAGATGGCCCAAATGCTTGGGCCCCTGCACTGGCTTGGGAGATCTGGAAGAAGTTCCTGGCTTCTGGCTTCGGACTGGCCCAGTTCCAGTCATGTGTCCATTTGGGGATTGAACCAGTGGATGGGAGACCTTTCTTTCTGTCTCTCCCTCCCTCTGTCTGTAACTTTACCTCTCAAATAAATAAATACTTTTTTTTTTAAAGAGGAAAGTGAATATGTTGTATCACAAATACCAACAGAGGTTTCTTGTCTTTTGAGACTTAGAAAGCTTTCCTTCTTTTATGTCAAACTGCTCTACCACCAAAGTTTTAGCATGTTTTACTATTATCAGCATTGTCACAACACTGAGGATTATCATTCATGTTTAGCTTTGAAAATCTGATGCGAAAAAATTGTTTCCAACTTTATGAATTATCTAGTGAATTTAACTATATTACAAATCAAGCAGTACTATCTGTTTTTAAAGCAGAATTTAGGCCGGCGCCGTGGCTCAATAAGCTAATCCTCTGCCTGCGGCGCTGGCACCCTCGGTTCTAGTCCCGGTTGGGGCCGGATTCTGTCCCAGTTGCCCCTCTTCCAGTCCAGCTCTCTGCTATGGCCCGGGAGTGCAGTGGAGGATGGCCCAGGTCCTTGGGCCCTACACCCGCATGGGAGATCAGGAGAAGCACCTGGCTCCTGGCTTCAGATCAGCCCGGTGCGCGGGCTGAAACGCGCCAGCCACAGCGGCCACTGGGGGGTGAACCAACGGAAAAGGAAGACCTCTGTGTCTCTCTCTCACTGTCCACTCTGCCTATCAAAAATAAATAGAAAAGCAGAATTTAGAACTTTGTACTCTTTTCTTTTAAAATATCTTTATTTTTCATTTTATTTGAAAGGCAGAGGGGCAGAGAGAGAGAAATCTTCCATCTACTGGTTCATTTTTTTTTAAAGAGAATTACTTATTAATTTGAAAGAGTTACAGAGAGGCAGAGGCAGAGAAAGACAAAGAGGTCTTCCATTTGCTGGTTCACTCCCCAAATGACCGCAACAGTTGGAGCTGCGCCAATCTGAAGCCAGGGACCGTGCCAATCTGGAGCCAGGAGCCAGGAGCTTCCTCTGGGTCTCCCATGCTCGTGCAGGGGCCCAAGTTCTTGGGTCATGTTCCACTGCATTCCCAGGCCATAGCAGAGAGCTGGATCAGAAGTGGAGCAGCTGGGACTCGAATTGGAGCCCATATGGGATTCTGGCACTGCAGGTGGTGGCTTTACCCGCTATGCCACAGTGCCGGTCCCTGGTTCACTCTTCAAATGCCTAGAACATCCAGGGCTGGGCCAGGCTGAAGTCAGGAACCTGGTTACTCAATCCTGTTCTGGAGGCCAGCATTGTGGCATAGTGGGTAATGCCACTTCCTGCAATGCTGTCATCCTATATGGGCATTGATTCATGTCCTGGCTGCTCCACTTCCATTTTAGCTGTCTGCTGATGGCTTGGGAAAAGCAGCAGAAGATGGCCCAAGTGTTTGGGCCTCTGCTACCCATGTGGGAGACCCAGAGGAAGCTTTTGGCTCCTGGTTTCAGCCTGACTCAGCCCCAGCTGTTGCAGCCATCTGGGAAGTGAGCCAGCAGATGGAGGATCTCTCTCTGTCTCTCCCCCTCTCTTTGTAACTCTGACTTTCAAATAAATAAATAAATCTTTAAAAAATACACCCTGATATCTCAGGTGGCAAGGACCCAAGTACAGGTGCCATCACTTGCTGCCTCCCAGGGTACACATTAACAGGAAGTGGAACGTGGGAATCGGGAACAGAGTAACCAGGACTTGAACCAAATACTGGGTGCAAGTGTCCCAAGTGGCAACTTGCTGCACCAAATGCCCACACAACAAACAGTGCTCTCTGTCCATTATAGCATGAGAGAAGATTAATCTGGACTCTCCATTAATGAAGACGTTGAGAAAATGACTCAAATGGTAGGAGAAAAATTGCGTTCTGAGCATTAAATAATACTAGCATCAGTTATATAGCTTAGGTTTGCATTATTTTATAGCTGATACACACAACCTTTCTGAGCACGTGCTGAACAATAACCAAAGAGAAAGATGGAAGTCACCTATCGTTTAATGTTTCTTATTAATTCTGTGTCAAATCTTTAGTTAAAATACATATATCAGGTAGGTGGATAACCTTGTTAATGAAGTTGGATTTTCTAATATTAAGTATCTCTACCATATTAAACCAATTTGTCATAAACTCTTTACACAGAATACCAATTCCCTAAGAATTATTAAGTATTCCATGAAAAGGGATCTGTACCAAATAACTATGAGGAATTCAGAATTTGAAAATATTAACATATGTATGTCCACATACATACATATCTGCAATGGCTGAGCCTATGGTTTGATACAGTGACTTTTGCATTTCCAAAAATATAATATGATATGTCCTGTTTTCCAAATGTTTCTTAGCTGCCAAAACCCTTTCCTCAAAACTAATACTAATGAATCACTGAGGACAGCAATGCTCCTTGAACCAGTGTTCCCAGAGGTACTGGGAACTGTTGCATTAGATTCATAACAGGGTTTGCCTGTTAATGTTCACGACAGAATCAAACCTACTATGCATTTGAACATAAACAGAATCAGCCTTTACCATGCTCTCCTTTTGTGTGATACACTCAGTGGGGTTATGGCCTCTTGCCCAAGGTGGACTCTGTTTTCTGTGATGACCCAGCCATTGTTGGTGGGACAAGGGGCAGGGAGAACAGTGGAGGCA